CTAATTGTCTTGTTTTGCCCATGATGTTCTCAGTATGTGTTTTGTGATTTCATGTACCAGTAGGTGCCCCGAGCAGTAAGCTGATAATTATACAAATTAAGTACGAAAAACTCATGATTAGGAGGGCAGGAAAGCAATATGACATGTAGTAGTAATTTTATTGGACTGCTCTGTTCTGTGGAATAACAGCTAGCTGGCTAACTGTAAATTCTACTCCTCCACTTCATGCACTATTTCCTGTGTACTGTAGCTATATATATATATATAGCTATATGGCTATGAAGACCCTCCCCTTTTTGGAGATATAAAAATTTAAATAAAAATAAGTAGGGTTTAAAAAATGAAAGAAACAAGGCCGGGATTCATAATAATAGAAAACAAGCGAACACACACAGACAGGATGACTGCTTTACCCTCGCTTCCATGCCTACGCGTGGGCTAGGGTAATAATTATTCATTAAAATACTGGGTAATAACAAAAGAGTTAGTAAGTTTCATACAATTGTTCTTTTAAAAAGCTAACAGAGCGAGATCTTCTGATACATAATGATGGCCTTATAAAGACCAATTGACTCCAGCAAATATCTCTTCCATGGTGAAAGCCAAAAAGCAGCAAGACAAATGAAACGATAGAACAAAGCCTCATCTTTAATTAATATGTAAGAAGTTGCCTTCATTTTAAAGATAGCCCAAACTTTCATACTTTGCCGGTGAGTTCAGCCCGGCTATGAGTTAGACATAGACGAGGCTCTCTTAAGTTCTCCCGAAGTAGCGGCCAGAGTCTTTAAACGCCAGAGACTAAATAGCAGTTTGCATGCAACATATAGAGCCTCACAAATGTATGCTAAACTGTTTAAAAGTCGAGAAAAACCAAAGCTTCTCCACCACTTATGGCCATGTGCCACTATTTACTGTGTGCGGGTGGAATTGGAATTTGGAACATGGCTTAAGCCACACCTTCATTGCAGCCACACCTTTACATTGCTGCAGCTAGCATGCAGCAGCGCAGCAAACATGCTGGAGACTGATTTGTTTTTTTAGACAGAGAAGAAGTTCTCTGTCTAAAAAAACAAATCAGTTCTGTCTCAAAACATTTACTAAGTTTTACTAAATCTAGTACATGCTGAAGTTTATTCTCAGTCTCAAAACTTTTACTAATTTTCTCTTAATTTGTTAAAACTGTCACATACATTATTGTGGCAAGGGTACGCAATTTAGTGCTCTTGTTATTATTATGATTGAACTCAACCGCTCTGTTCTTTCATTTTTCACAACTGTACTTTTTCATATTTAATAGAATTTTTTTATTGACTGGTTTCCATACTTTTTATGAAATTTTATTAATTAAAATCCTTTTGTAGACTGTGATAAAAATAAATTTTGAGATTCATTTTTAGGTTTAAAAGATCATTTTTCATCACTCAGTCTGAAAGAAAGTTATTTTTTGAAATAAGAATCTAGCAAATTATAAAAGCAATTGTCATATATATAATTATTTTAAAATTTGAATCATTACTGAATAAAATTCATAGCTATTATAGGCTATTTATTATTCATTATTGAGATTTCAATAAAGTAAACCTATATTTAAGTTGTTAAATTATTATTTCCGTTCAGTTTGAAAAATCTCTTAGCTAGGCTGAGCTCTCCGCAAGCTCTCTCTCAGTCTCTCGTCGGTAAAACTGCCACAAGTCAGTTTGTCAAACTTGAAACTATATCAGTAGATCTATACCTACCTCTAGAAATGGCCGGGAATGATCCGCAAAATCCCAAGGCTCCCGTAGCTGACAAGACTAGTCGTAGTCCCACGGTAACCTCGGGCCCACCTAGTCCCGAGACAAACCGACCACCAGCACTGGAACCTCCAAGGTCAGGTGTTGATAGAGAGGATACATCTACAGTTGACATAACGCCGGTTTATGACAAAGTTAGTGAGTACGTTAGAGAGAAAATTACCATTGCTGGATTGGGCCATGTGTTTCCAAATCCCGAGAAAAAAAAGGGTGTGCACAGCCTGTCAACTTGTGAAAAAACGATGATGGTAGTATGGGCCGTATTTTTTACTGGATGTGTTTTAGGCTGCCTGGTATTAATTGGCCTAAGCTTTAAGCGATTTGTAGACAAACCAACAGCCTCTACTATCACTGTTGTGTCTCATGACAAAGCTGGGTTACCCTTCCCAGCTGTCACCATTTGCAATCTCAACTTGAAAAAGAATGATTCAGATTTTATTCTAAATACCACTTATCAAGCGATTATCTCTCTTTACAATGCAGATAAAAGCTCTCAATTTACTAGTAATAAAAAAATTGACCATTTGCTTAACACATGTACTGCTTCTCTTTCAAATAGCATTCAAAATGCTACAATATGGGATATCGTAAGTCCAGAAATGGCAGTAAATGAGTTTATACATTACTGTGGCTTTTTGCATGGAGCTGACAGTGACGTCGTGATGTGCAAGGATTTATTTGAACCAGTACTAACCTCAGCTGGAATCTGCTTCACATTTAATGGAACTAATAAGCTTGCTAATAGCACTGGTAGAAGATATGGTTTAAAGCTAGTACTGAATATACAACAAGAGGAAAGGCCATCGTTCAGTGGAAAGTTAGGTGTTAAGCTTGTCATTCACGATGGCAAAGATATTGCAAGGCCTAGCTTGTATGGTATTTCTGTACCACCTGGTTTTGCTGTTGATGTTGGAGTACGCAAAATGGCCACACGAGATGAGACAAGTGAAGCTAAATGTATCGATAACATGAATCTTCCTTTTTTTCCAAGTGACAAATTTCAATATTCTCAATTTGCCTGCAGAGAAAATGCTGTTGCTGAAAATATAGCAAGAGGAAGTAAATGTAACTGTGTCATTCAACCTGATAGGCCTCCTGGTCTTTACGCTTCCACTCCTAATTGTACATTTAGTAAAGCATGCTGTCTATTGCAAGAGCACTACACATTTCACCCTGAAGAAATTGACTGTCCTCTACCATGCCACTTTGAATATTATGAGCATACTGCTAGCTATTCCAGTTTCCCTCATGGACAATACCTGCAAGTACTAATGGAGGAATTAAACATGTCTGCTGAATATGTCAAGAACAATTTTTTGTCTATTGATGTTTTTTTTGATGACTTTCAAGTCACTACAACAACTACTAAATACACATATGGTATAGAAACTCTGCTAGGAGAGATTGGTGGTCTGCTAGGTTTATTTATTGGAGTGAATATCATTAATTTTTTTGAGTTGCTAGTGCTCTGTATGGATGCAACTAAGTTATGCAATAAATGTTTTAAAAAAGAAAAACCAAATAAAAGGACAAATCCAGTAGAATTGGATAATGTTTTGGTTACGAAAGGTTCGAGAAATTCAACAAAACCAATGAACACTGTGGTTGGTGATACGGTAACAGTAAATTAACATTATTGATTATTATTGTATTATTAATTATTGTACATGTATTTGGTAGATTCTAGAACATTCATGTGGACTTTCTGTACACTTCTAGGCAATTCATTTTTGTAATCACTCTGCATGTTTCTAGACTGTTCTCTGTACTATAAGGCATTCTTTTGTCTTTCTGTTGTCTTTCGTTGTTAGTTCTTTGTTAATCATTGTCAATTCGATTATTACAACAGGTTATGAGCCTAGTGTTCGCTCTATAGACTAAGTTGAAGACGTAGTGCAGTTCGAAAGTAGCTTTGAGACTTCACTGAGGAATTCGAGGCTAATCCAAGCGGTATGGCCGAAGTAGACAAGTGGACAATCGACAAACTCGATTCGTCAAACTGGACAGTTTGGAAGTTCCAAATGAGGCACTTTCTGTTGTCGAAAGGGCTGTGGGGATTAGTGGATGGGTCGGAGGTCTTACGAGAGAATCCGACGCCTCAGCAAGAAGCTGAATTCAGGAAGCGCTCACAAAGGGCACTGTCTAACCATAGATTATATATACGTACCGGGAT